GCTGTCATGCTGGCACTGTCAGAAAGGACACATGGAGCTGTGCCCAGCCATTCCCCTTGTCAGGACCCCGGGTTAGACGCAGCTCACAGCTCGGCAGCCCTGCCCCAGGTACAAGGGTAGGAGCTGCTGCCTGGGACATGACTCAGGGAGCTCTGATGGTCACACAGGCTGCCTGCAGTCTAATCCTGCATCTCCACCCCTCCTGATGGCCACGTGTGCCCTTGGGGATTCTCTGTGCTCCTGCTCCTTCAGCCAGGTCCATTGTGGCTGGATGAGGTGAGGTCTGACATGTCGAGGCTGGAGGAGATCAGGAGCTCTGACTCACAGCTAAACTCCACCCAAAATGACTTACTTTGCTTTACACCTGTATGTATGTGCTGAATTTTAGACCCTGTGAGTAGTACCATTTAATTCCCCCAATATGCAAGTTCTGCCTACAGTGATGTATTATTTATTTAGGTTTGTAACAAACACACAGGAAAAAAAGGAATAAATTAATAATGTATGGATTACCTTATACATTTCAGCTCACAGCTGAGAGAAATGGCAGAGAGCAACCCTCATTTTAAGTTCCTTAAGACAATTGCTTTTCTTTCTTCCCCTAAAACCCCAAGCAGTGATAAAGGTTCTGCAATTTATCACTTAGCATTGCACTAAGAAGCCACGTGGACCTGAAATTAATTTGTGTTTTAGATCAGAGTGGCAGACGGGCCACAGATTTACGTTCATTTGAATGATAGCTTTTTAGGTAAGATGTTTTCTGTAGTTGTAATTACAGCTTTCTTTGGTCCAAGTTACAACTGGCTCAGTTTGTTTCTCACTTTCTTCAGCATTTCCAAGTTTTCTGGTACCACAGCTCGTGTGCCAGCCTTGCCTAGTATTCAGCAATTCGGGGATGTTTCATAGAGAGGAAACTTTACATACCAATTATTTGTAAAATATGTACTCCATAAGAGATTTTAGCCACCATCTTATTCTTTAAATGGAAAAGCCTGAGATTCAGGTGAAAGAAATAAGAAAAAAGCATATCCTTGAATAATGAAATACAATGACAGCTGGAAGTGCTTGAAACATTTGAATGCCTTTATGGCAGTTTAACCAATTGTGTCCATAAATATTTAAAGAAGTGAATTATTTCTTGAAATTTACATTTTTATGTACCATTTTGGTGGAAGAAGTATTGAACAATAAAGATGCTTTCCATAATCATCTCAGCTTTCAAAATATAGCACTTGACTGCGAAAAGATTTGCCGGTGGCCATCATATGATTCACTGAACTCCCAGCATAATACTGAGTTTTGATAGTTCCTAACTCCAAATTAAGGTTTATAACAGCACTAGGTAACCTGGATCCCATCTGTGTTTCTGCACTTCTCAAAAGAAAAATGAAAAAAGAGCTGTGCAGCAGCTACTGTTACCTCTCAGCACTGTGTCTGTGTGTATATGTATGTATCTGACTGGTAAGAGTTTGTGTTTTCAGTATGGATCAATGTGAATAAATTGGCCATTTAAATCCTGCTGTAGCTGTTATAAAAGGTCACTGTGTTGAAACTATTCTGGTTTGTTTTTCAGTCCATGATAAGGTCACCACCCTATAGATAACTATAACCATCAGCTACACTCGTGCTCTGCCTTCTGTCCATGTCTTGTGTCAGGCTACAGGAGCAAAAAGGTGGAGTAGTGAATATGCTGTTATGAGACACCATAATTTGTGCCACTGAGCTTGCTCCACGGAGGTACATTTGCAGCAGGTAGTTGTTGACAGTATGAAATCATCCAAGTGGCTGGGACAGTCACCAAATGTGCCAGTAATGGGCTGAGACCTGGGAGGGGAGCACTGCATTTCTGGAGCTGTCTTGCATCAGAACAGGAACTAGCACAGTGATTCAGTTTTTTTTTAGTTGAATTCAGATATGATTCCCATTGACACTTATTAAGGAAGCTGAAATTATTATAAAATCATCCCCAAAATATTTGCGTAAAAGTGAGGTATTAATTTTTTTTTCATCTTTTTGTGTGTTCACTAGCGAGCAGGAAAGAAATATTAGAGAAAACTATATAAAACATTGACATGTTGTTTTACTGTCTGTGTATCAATGTTACTGATAGTGATCACCAAATAATAATGATTCAGGCTTTGTGATGGGTTACATGACATTATAAACTGAGTCAATCTGCTTTTCATTTTTAGGAAATATTAGTTTTCAGATAAACTGTGAACTGAAAATCCCCAAGAAAGGATAGTGGAATGTAAATTTACAAAGTCTAGACAGCCAGCTGAAAATGGATTTTCTACACCTTATAAAGAACAAGACTATAAACCAAATCTTTATTTAGTCTGAATATTTCCATAGTTTCCAGCTGGTTGCAGAGAAATGCTGTGCTTTGATGCAACTGATAATAAAACTAAGAATGCACAAATCATTTTTATCAGGCAAAAAGTACAAATGCGTCTCTGTTAAATAGACTGAAGTGGATAAATCCTTAGCTCTGCACTCAGCCAGAGCATTTCCACCGTAACAAGGGCTGACTACATGAGTGGGTGACATTTCAAAGGGTGGTGTTCAAGTAGTGTCAGTGGGGCACACACAGAGAAGGTTTACACTAATGTAATCACAGCATTTCCAGGAGCAGCTGAATTACACAGTAAATTAACTCTATTGAGTGATGCACTAAGTTGTTAGGGTATTTGCAGGGCCCAATTCTGAGTTTTTAAAAACATGTTCTTGTCTTTTGTCTTTCTCTTTGTTTTGCTGGAAAGAATAAGCTGCAATGTAGACAGCATCCTGTACTGGTGGAAAAGAGATTTGTGTGCATATCCAAAGAATTTTGAAACTTTATTCGTAGCCTTCCTTTCCCAGACAAGCAGTAGCTTAAAAAAGTGAATGTTTTTGGTATAAAGAAAAAAATTAGATATAACTGTATGTCTCTGTTATATGAAAAAGTACATCACTATTTTTGGTAGCTCAATGCTCAGCAAAAAATATGAGCCTTTTTGTTGATAACTGAAACAGTTCAAATCTAGTAATAATTTGGGCTCTCCATCTCTTTGCACAGCTTTTTGTATTAGAAAGTCTCTCTATGCAGTCACAGGCAGAGCTGTGTTACAGACATCTCGTAGCAAAGGTCCCTGAAAGGCAGATGTCATGTTATATTGACACAGACTGTTATTCAACCCTGTACCCTGCTGGGGTTGCTAACTAGGAAAAACAAACAGTTTGGATTTTCATTGCAGTGTCTTTTTGCATACATTAAAGTAGGTAAGTGACCCAGAAGTTCATGGAAGAGGTTTGATTTTTGAAGGTCTTTGTCACATGAAATGTCACTGAATTTTATTTATGATTCCTAAACTGGGGTTGTTTGATCATTTTCTCATGAAGTGTTACTACTTGAAGGTTGTGGTAAGATATCCTTAACATTAATTTTTACTGTTAACAGATAGTCATTCACATTCATTGAGGAAACTCCAGGCTGACTGTGTTGTTACTCATTAAGTTCATCTGCAGACTGGAATTTCAGAGAACCCAAAACAACATGAGATTTTGTCCCTGTTGTGCACAAGTGGGGTCTCTACCTACTACAGATACCCAGTAGTGCATCTTTCACTGTTTACTGTAGCACGGGCAGCAGTGTGTGGGGTTTTGAGCCACAGGCAAATCAAAGTGGTTTGAATGTGGTTCTTTTTCTGGACTGTATCATCTGAGTGGAAATTCCTGTTGGATAGTCCTAGTTCCTGGCCACAGGGATATCTGCGAGAGGAAGTGGCTGCTCCGACTGGCAGTCCTGCACAGCCAGGCCACTTCCATTTGGCACAGGTCCCCTGGGGAGCTGTTGGCATCTCCTGCTTGTGAGTCGCTCGCGGCATTTTCTCTTTGCTTGGCTCTCTCAAATTTTCTCATGTCCCTTGTAGCCACAAAAGGTTTTTGAGATAGGGCTCAAGGGAAGGTTGTTGTCTCTATCAAATATGGATTCCAAGCCTGTAGATACATACAGAAATTAAAGGTACATCAGGGGGTTGATTAATAAACCCGTGTGACTAGAACTTGCATCCTTACATGAGAGTATCATGTAAGGATGTCTTTGGGTTTAAACACAAGGTATAAGATTCAAATCTCAGGGATTTTTTTTTTTTCAAAAAGAGGTAAATGGCAAACTTTAAATAACTGACTAGCACAGTACTTAGCTCTTACAACTAAAGAGCAATCTAATGTTTCTTCTGTATCTAGTTTTCCATGTGAATCTTTAACAGCTACAGAAGGAAAAGAACAGGAATGAACTGATCCTCCTGTATTGCTCAACGTGCAAGAAAAGAAATTAGGGTCTTGAGAAGAGAACAGAAAATCACCAGCCATGAAGAAAGCAGACATCACTGCTTCATTTGAAAAATCATTCAGTTGTGTTTTGAATTTCTCCTTTTTACATTAACTCATGGAGTTGCAAGCAGAAAGTAATTTTCTGACTCCAAGGATTTTTCCAACCAAGTGAAATTCCATTTCCTAGGTTATGGAGCTGGGCACACCCAAAATGGATTTTTGCTCTTTTGTTTTGTGGATTGTGTGCTTTTATTAGAGCTTCCAAGGAGTACAGATATGTAGCTTGCACAGTATTGCCTTAGGAGAGAGCTTCCTTAGAAAGTGCCTGAAGAAGAACTTGTTCCCAAACAAATGACAGCTGAAAAGAATCCAAGTATTTCTATAAATTTTTAATAAACCACAATTTGGTAGGGTACTATTTTCAAAATTATTTTCATGGCATATAAAAGTTGCAACAGAAAAGTTACATTTTATCCATCTGCTGCATGGTGTATGGTTTTAATAATTAAAAACTGTATTGAAGCCTACGTAAACTACTGGGGTTTGGCCTAGATGGTAAAATAATGCTATAAATTGTCCTTAAAAGATTTATGATTGGTATATATGCAGTATTGTGCAAAAGACTGTTACATGATGTGGATGATTAGCAGACACTGTAACAAAATGTTCACTTGTGTATTTCATAGAACCACTAGATGAGCTGAAGATCAGAAGTCACAGCACTGAACCACTACCAAAGCTGGAAAACAAAGAGAGAGGATATCATGGGACAACTTCCTCTAGGGAGCCAGGGAAAGCTCAGGAATGGGATGGAACGCCGGGCCCGCCTGTGGTGTCCAGCAGGCTGGGGAGATCCTCTGTCAGCCCAACCATGTTGGCTGGAAGCAACAGCTCAGGTAAGTCAAGCAGCAGAGCCAGGAAGATCAAATGAATCTCCTTGTGAGATGAAGGATCTCTAAAAATACACAGATGTAGATAAGCATCCAGATTCTTTAGACTTCCAAATATCTTCTAGGATATGCCCTGCCCACTGACTGCTGTACTAGTAAGCCTTGTGCTGTCTGCCTGTGCTCTGTGCTGGAACAGATTGGGATGGTGGCAAGTAATACAAGCACATAAACACGCAGTTCATCTATTTTGAAAGAAGTAAGGAATTCCACATGACATTGAAAGGGGACACTATGGCAAAGTCACCTCAGGATGGCACCTCAGAGAGAAGTTTGTAAATTCAGGTATCACAGAGAGTAACAAAAATACACTATGCAGAAGCGAGGCTGTCTTAGTGATGGGCACAGTGACCAGACACAGGCAACCTTTGACTTATGCTTGTACAAGAAATTTCTAGAAAAGTGACTATGAGTTTCAGAAGTCTCAGATTCACACCGATCCATTTTATTAATCAAAATTTTATATATATTAAATAGTAAATTTCCATAAATCATAGCATTATAATGCAGCCTTGTTTATAAATTGACCAAGACAAACAGAACTGATGCATGAATGGACCTCTATAAACAGATATCTATGGCTCTTGCATGAGTACTGCATTGTTACTTTTGAGATTTGACAGCTCTCATAAAAGAGTAACTTCACTGCTTATTAGTTGGATTGGGAAAAATATCTACTTTAAAAACAGTTGGCATATATAGTACTGAAAGCCTCATGGTCAATGTTCAGTAAGCATAAGAGCACGAATGAGCTACTCAAACAAGAAATCATTCCTGCAAGAGGGATCTGCTGGGCAGTGAGTGGCAGAGATGTCTTTAAACTGCTGAGCCAGCAGAGATGCTCATGCCTCACCCACAGCATTGCTTCCCCGTGTGATAATGGGACCCACATTGTCTCTGAATCGTTGAAAATGGCACCTGAAACTCAGTGTATAACTTGTATAGTCTTTGCTGCTGTGACATATCATTTGCAGCAATCATGTAGTCCAGCTTTTCTTGCGACCGACCCTGCAGATAGTCCTTCCTGGGCCAGCAAATGTGACTTTTCTGCTAATCTTATGACTCTAGCACAGGTTATTTGGGTATTACTGCCATTTTCTTACTTGTCTGTTCTCAAAAAGACTTCTGGTAGGTAGGAATTTTCCAGATTAGCTCATAGCTTTTGGTAAAAATTCTGTTCCCAGTGTATTAGAGAGTCTGTGCTAATGCAGGTAGAAGGGTGGGTTTAAAAGCTACCACATCAAAGTGTTGGGACATCCGATAATTAGACCAAAGGTGTGTAACAACCTTCTCAGTTCTACGAGATGACAGTATGGAGCAGAGTAGTAAAGAAGTTAAAATTAAAGAGTAAGTTCTTAGCAAAATATTACACTGCTGTCCAACCTTTCTGCAGCAGTTTTATTTCAAAGAGTTGGTTGATCTCCAAAAACAGACAAAACATGTTGGCCTCAGCCTTCATTTGGCATCAGAAAACTATAATAGTTGTTGAATCATGCCTTGATTTAGTTAACTGTGACTTTGTCTTTCATTGCTAGGACTGTCAGAGAAAAAAATATATTTTCTTGGCTGAATTTTGACTCCTTTTTATGATTAAAATCTGAAAGCTGATTATGACTTTTCTTTCCCTGCAGTTTTATGCTATTTCATTTGATTAATATTGCCTCTCATCTGCCCTGAATATTTTTCCCCTGTGTCTCTCGCTGTTGCCTGAGCAACATGTTTTACCTTTAATCGGTGGGGCATTGCATTCAAAGTGTACACAGTTCTCCTCAGTGAACTTGTACATGAACTGTAACAGTTCATTCTTTGCAATTAAATTAGAACTGTAACAGAATGCAAGAAGAGAGATTTAATACATCTGTATGAATACAAATGCATTTTGGAGTCAAGGAGATAAAGTAATTCTGTGCTAGGAATTAGAGCTTAGATTTACCACAGGACCGTAAAAAATCAAGGTAGTCCCTAGTACAGTTGTCATTGCTGTTGCTCTCTTTCCAATATCATACATAACAGAAAAAAAGGCTACTTTTTTTTTTTTTGTGCAGACATGTCCTTGAAATACCACAGTTTGCTGCCTGCCTCCTAATTCACACTGGTACAGGCAGTGTTGGAATAAATTAAAGAAAATGGGGTTGAATTGCTCCACTGTAAAACAGAAAGTGTGAAAGGACTTCTTAAGTGTGCTCATCAGGCAGCTCTGCTGAGGCACAGATGAACTGGGAATTGGGGTGGCCTGAACAAATCCCTGAGTGGCAATACTGATTTTTTGTAGGTTCTCTCCATCTCTGAAACTGCTAGTAAGATAAGAGGGAGAATGAGCCCTCTCCAAACAGAATCTTGAACTTTCTGTCCATTTTGTTCAAAGAGCCTGGACTGTCAGCTGCACACAGGTATCACTGTGCCTGATTGCTCTGTGACATCATTTGTCAAAGCCACTTTCTGTTTCTTGGCATCCTATCATTTCTCATGGAAAGCAATGTGATTTGGGGGCATGCTGACATTTAGGAAACTCAGTGCAATTGTAGTGAACAGCCAAATGGAATCTGTAAAACAGAAAGTTGTACAGCTTCACTCCAGGAGAATTAAAGAGTATTTTCTGGAACGTTGCTGCTTTTTTCCTGGCTGCAACCATGAAACGTTTTACATTGCCACCTGCTGCTGAAGACAGGCATTGCCTTGCCTTTTAAACCTCAGATACTCTGTTGTGTCCTGTTTTTTGAAGCACCACCAGCTTGTCACTTAGCCAGCCATTAGTATTCCACCTGAAAACACTGTAGATAAACAGGAAGGGAGTAAATCCCCACCCTTCATTGGAATTACTGGCTATCATTTTGGATTTGCAAAAGTAATGAATATTTAAGGTCAGCTCTTTGGGAGTGGAGCAATGCCTGGGAAGCCCAAGGTGCAAGTTGCATCCAAAGGTACAGGAAGGGAGTAGCAGCAAAATACCAGTTCGTTCCAGCTAGGTCTGCTTCATGCAGAGATGACTGAGCGCTCCCACCAACCCTAAATTTTCTCCTCACCTGCCATATCAGAGTATCACAGCGCTCCTAAATCCACAAGGATTCTCCAAGTGAAGGCAACTTAATGCTGGAGGTCTGTGTTACTGGGCAGCCTGCCTGGTGAGGTCCAGACCTTGCCTGCGATGGTCATTCATGTTCTCTGCACACAACTCTTCCTGAGCAGTGCCTGTCATCTAAAATAAAATGAGTAGTACTGGGAGCTGTACACTGAGGGCATCTAGCCAATGCCCACAATCCAGGTGTGTGACCTCCAGGCTGTGGGATCACATGGATCCTGACTGGAGTAAAACTATTGTCTAGATGTGACAAAAACACACATAAAAAACCTGAACAAAAATGCCCAACACTTACTTGTGTTACAAAGCAGCCAGGAAATAGCAAACAAACACAGCCAAATCCTACAACAAAAACTTTACAAAAAAAATAAACACTCGTACTCAGGATACAAAGTTTATTCCACTAATATCTTTTCCCTCTGGGCAAAGTATCCCCGAAACCTATATAGAAGGTTCCTTTCAGGCATGGTTTTACTCATTACCTGACTTGGTTTTGAGACTTGCTAAGCTTTTGACCTATGGATATATCTGGTAACACTGAGGTCCACAGGTTCAGTGCTCCCTTTGTGAAAACATTTCAGTTTGACGTGTTGCTGTGCTATTTCAGCACTAATTGGCTTCTGCAGGTGAAGTCCTAAATACTTTTTTTTTAAAAGTAACAGGATACTATGTAGTTTATTCCACCATAATGTTTCATAATTTCAAATAATGTTTTGGCTTACTCATCTCTTTTTAGAAAACCAACATGGCTAGGCCAGTATGAAGATAATATTGTGATTAATTTTTCCAGTATGCATGTTTTCTTTTTCTTCTTTTTTTTTCCATTTTTTTAGCATGTGATTGCTCTCAGCCTGTCACATCGCCTTGTTTAATTCAAAACGCATTTCTTGGCAGCTGTAGCAAATAAGCAATATTTCTCTTTTCATGTGCAAAGAAGAGACTGTGACAGGATAAGAAGCTTCTCCAATGTAAGTGACAGCCAGAGTATTTTTTTGAATTAAGATTAGGATAGGCAGAATGAAGGCTTCCTTGGATGAAAAGGAACTCTTCCCATTAAGATCCAAAAATAAAAATCATACAGAGTTGTTGTACTTCTGGAGAATATAGAAAACCATAGCACATTGGTATTAAAATTATTGAAAATATTTCCATAAATCTTGTCACATTTCAGCACTGTGCTTTGTTGAGGAAAATCCTACAACACCCCCTGTCTCAAATGCAACCAGCCAAGCCTCTACATCTTTAGTAATGATGACAGCACTTGCACTTTTGGAAAACAGGCCATTTATGTGAGTGCTTAAATACATGATTAAGTACACAACTTTAGGGCAATCCTATCTGTGACTGGAAAGCCTGTATTTCTGCATTGGAGAGTCTCTCCTAAAATTCTCATCCTTAATGCTGCCCTTTGGGTCTGTCCGCTTGCTTATGTCCATGTGTAATCCTACTGGCACTGCTGGGACTCAGTTTAAACCTGAGAGTGCAGTAAAGCTCGTCCCACTGCACTGACTACGTGTGGGGTTGCCTCACGTTTGGTCCCTGTGGTCCCGGCCACTGGCACGTTGGGAGTGTTGTGGCTACTGTGGGTGACGTAATAGGGGACTGAGGCACAGTAGCCCACCGTTCTCTACTAGCACTCCACTGCCTCTGCACCTGGCTCCGAGAGGAGAGCAGTGCATTTTTCCTATTGTGTCACAGCGTGAGAGATGCGTCACTTGAAGTTGCGCACAATAATACCACCAAAGTTCCATCAGTCAAATATAGCAACTGGATTTGATGAGCATTTTTGTGCATAATGTAACATTTTGCAGCTTCTTGGCTGCCCCCTACAATCTTCTGAATTCAAATTTCATGCTACCCATTGATTGCAAGGGGCATCTCTAATGGATGCTCACATGCCCTACATCCCCTGGCCCCACTCCCCAGAAGCACTTAGACATGTTCCTGTGAGTTCCCTGGCTTGGCACTAGGCTGTCAGCCCTTGTCTGCATTGGAGTTGCTTACAGCAGTGTTAGAGGCCCCTGGCTGTGGATGCAGAGAGGGTCCAATGTTTGGAGTGGAGTCCCTGGAGCTCTCTTTCAGGCAGGTTTCATTAGAAAGAGAAGGACCCATGTGCACAGTGAAGCTCAGTGCAGAGATGCGGTGCCTTGCTAACTTTATCAGGATGGAGCTAGATGGATTTTAACTTGAGTTGCCATGGACTCTGAGCCAATGGGTCTCCTTTGGGACAGATATTTACAGAGCCTTCCCTATGTGCTTACCAGGATTGCTGATAGAACTCAGCCTCACACCATGAATACTGTCACAAAGGGGACTTCTCAAGACCACTCATTTAAGATGTTAATACTAAGCTGTCTCAGTATCATTCACAAGAGATAAACAAGAATTAAACACTAGAAACCATCCTGAGATTTGTTGGCAGTAGTTGTTCTTCCTTTAAGATTCTCAACAGTAAATAGGAAAACCTATTTTCGTTCCAGACTCAGAATTGGTGTCATTATTCAGGCTTTGCAGGCAAACTGAAATGACCATTTAAGACATGAAAACCAAGAGATAAAGATACAGGCCATGATGGGATGGTGGACTTATGTATGCAAGAAGAATTCTTGTTAGTTTTTAGATAGCCCAAAGCAGAAGTATTTATTTGAAGTGACCATTACTTAGAAGTGATCAAAACCCAGATAGCCCCAATACAGTAGATGGCTGTCCATAGCTGAGAAATAACATGCTGCAGGATACAGAGCAGTGAGTTGTGTTGCATCACTTATGCAACAATTTATGTATGGGTTTTTTTCCCCCCAGTAGTGTGCAGTGTGAAGATATTACTCAGACCACTAACTATAGTAGAATATAGTATTTCTTTGGTCTAAAAATATTGCCACTGAGACCAGTGGATATTAAAAAAATTCCTCCCACTACCCAATTTCTGAACTTTTTAAAAAAAATAAAAGCTAGATGAAACCACCTCTGAAACACCTTTTGGTGAGAGTCACCATGGAAATCACAATAGTTTCCTTAATACTATAACATATATTACAGGGAGATAAAGGAAGTTATACTTCATCTGTGTGTGATAGGTTTTATTTCTTTGATGCCAGATAAAAGGAGTCTCTTTGGCAAGAAAATGGTAATCTCTTGTTGTTGCACATAGATCCAAATTGGAAATTATGACACTTCTCCCTGCTTTCCTAAAGCAAAGAAAATAATTCAGAAGCATAGGCAGACAGTGCCTTGGAGTTTTTTATGTGCTGGGTGTCTGATTCTGCTTGTCACAGCAAAAACAGAATCTCTATTTAGCAGTACAGAAAAACAACTGAAAAAAGACCCAATTCTTGTCCTCCCTGAAACCCCAGCAAAATTCCAGGAGATGAGAGATGAGGTATAATAATGAGATCCATTTTTTTTAATCTATGTTACTGAAAAGAACGGTCAGAAATCTGGCACCCAGACAGTGTGAAATCAGAACAAAAACAAATCTAATCAACCTTCAGAGTAACTGCTCAAGTCCAAAAAAAGCAAACCAACAGATTATGTACAAAAGGCAAGGTTACAGACGAGACCAGTCTGCTCCTTTCTGTGCCTATTGCTGTGTTGACTCGTGGGATGTTTACAGACTGACTAGGAGTGAGTGGATTGAATAATGCATTCGTCAAACAGCATAAATATTTTTGCTGCTCAGCCAGCTGGATGGTAACCAACCTATTAATATTTAGTTGATGAATATTCACCCATACAGATGTTTTCATTGGTCTAAGTGCTCTGGCATAAGTGGATAGCTCTTCTCCACACCCTGTTGAATTCTGAAATGTCTGAGGAAAATAAGCATTTAAGGTGACAATGAGAAATTATCGGTGAGATTGGAAGAACCCCTTTCAGCATGTTGCTGGTATGTGGAGTAATGTGCCAGCTGTCCTCAAGTTTCCCAGGTGTGCTAAGTGATCTTAAGGGTGTGCTGGTGATGGACGTCTTCTTCCTTTCAAACAGTGGCCCAACCAGTGGCTACTGATGATACTGGAGATCCACGTAGGAAATAGAGAAATTAGTGTGAACAAACATAGGCAAGGCAGCAGTGTAAATGAGGCAGGAAAAAATAAATTTCAGACAGACATAAGAAAAAGACATGAGAAACTGTGCTTCAGAGACAAATTTGCTAAACCAGGATTGCACAAGGCATAGGTCCTTCCTCTGTTCTTGGAAACATGAAATTGGATAGGAGAAATTCTTTGAACCTTACTTAAAAAATTAAAAATTCTCTAAATTCTAATGAGGTATGGTATTATAATTACTTGTTGTTCATGGTAAAGCAATATTATCAATGCTAAAAGTGAGAGTCTGTTATTGTACAAGGTGCATCTGGAGAGTGCAAATGTTCTTGGTCTCAGTGTTTGCCCACTGAATAGAAAAAACAGGTGCAGGGTTGGGAGGAAGGTTTATGAAACATGAGGAGAATAAACACACTGATCTGAGCCAAGTCATGGGTTGAGAGGTGTTTCCTCAACCATATAAAGGAAAGGTAGGGACAAAAAAATTTCTTGGGCAGACACAGGCAGACCCTTTTCTCAGGAAAAGACAGTTGCCTCTAGACCAGGTGTGGGGTGTTGAACGCTGGGGTAGCACATGGGTGTCAGTATGATTCAGATAAAAAACCTTCATCTAGGCCTCCTGAGCTGCGTGGTCACCTCATGTCAGCATGTACAATAATAACCTGCACTGGAAATCAATGGGGAACTTTCTTAAAAATGCCTTCATGTAAAACAGCAGAAGGAAAATTAAATAACTGTGTAATTTCTGCGCAATTCTTCTCCAAAATGAAGTTTTCTCTCAAGGTAACCTCTGCTTCTGTTATCACCTTCATTCTGGGTGACTGACTTTCCCACTGCTGGTGTTTTGATTTGTCTCCATTCTTGCTACATTATGTCTCTCAATTTACTGCCACTGACATCAGATTTCCAAGTATTTTTGGTGTCACTCCAAATCCCCAAGTGTGACAGTATCCTCAACACTTCATATGCTGCCTCCTTCATTTTCTGGCATTTCATGCTTTTCCTCAGCACAGTCAGTCTTTGGGCTGCCATGTCCCTCAGCTCTGAGAGGGACAGATGAAACCAGAAGCCACTGTAACTCCCTTAATCACTGCTGTATTTTAAGAGGGGTAGAAAAGGCACTGGGGAGTGGGGGGTGAGGCAACAAGAACATTTATATTCTTCCTGTCTGTCTGCTGGTTTATGCTCTATACTTCAGCTTCAGAGATGCTAGAGCAGAGAGGCCAGGACATGGTTCTGTCTTAATCCCTCTTCTTCTGATCTCAACTTCTGTTCATGATTCAGTCAAATGCCTGAGATTTTAACTAGTAACCAAGCCTGGATTCTCCATTTCAAGGGAATCCTGGATCTGACGAGTTTCAGTTTACTGCAGCAGTAACCCACCTCCTGTTCACAGGTGTTTCTACTCTCTTCCTTTCCAGAGTCTAAAGCAAGCTGCAGATTAGGTCGGTCTGCATCCACGTCAGGTGTGCCTCCTCCCTCCGTGACACCGCTCAGGCAACCCAGTGACCTTCAGCCGAGCCAGGTACCATCGTTAGCCAATCGTGAATGACTCCATGTGCTGCAACATGCCAAATGTTCTCACCTCTGTGTCTGTCATTTGTTACAGTAAATGATTTTTTTGGGTTTTTGTCTTTATTTTCTGTGCTTGTGCGTGCATCTGTGTGTGCGCATCTCCCATTGGCAATGAAATTCCACTGGCCACAGCCAGCAGAATTTTCTTTGCTTTTAATTCCTTATATCTTTTTCTGTCTTCATTCTGTAATATAAATGTAGTAAAACTGTACTGTATGAACTGTCTGGGCTTTTTATTTTTTCATGTTTTCTGTACTTTTTACTGTCTTGAAATTTATCAAACTTTGATAAATTTAATTTATGTTTTTATGTAAATTTCTTTTAAATGTCTTGTCTAGAGCACTTACACCAATGTTTGTCAATGACTTGTACATACTTGACTTCTGCTCAGTTATACTTTAATATTTGTGCCAGTCTCACATTTGGTTGGAGCTTAATGCATGATTGTATTACACTGTGATTTATCACTGTCCTGAAAACTGCTCTTACAGCAAGTGATTTTGTTTAGTTAAGGCAGCTAGCCTCTCTTCAGCTATAGACCATGTAATGCTTACAGGACTATTAAATAGTCCACTGTAGTTATATTTATTGTGTATTGTTAGGAATCAGAAAAACTAATCAAAGGGTCAACATCTCCTTTTATCTTAGAGATACTTTTTTTTTCCTCATCAGAAACAAAACTACCACACAGAAAGAAATGGAAGTGTTTGGGTTTGGCAAGTTTCTCCAATAGAGAGAAAATGGAAAAGGAATAAAGTCATGGGAAACCTATACTTACCTTTATTTTATATGCTAATACTGATATTGTAACATTTTGTTGCGCAGACCTGTATTATTAGTTTGACAGAACTAACTGAGAGTAGCAATTGAGAGAAGAGGTTTTGCTTAAATGTAATGTGAATGCCTCCTGTCAAAGCACTCTGATATCACGTCACTCGTGTGTGCAGGCCCTCACATCACTGCGTACGTGGGGGGGGTGTATGTGTGCACAAGGACACATGAACATATATGTATTTATGTGCACATGCATATATGTATATGCACACACACAGGCACTCTTATTTAGATGGTGAGTTTTCAGGGAATTAGTCCCCAAAATCCTATTGAACATCTGTGAGGTTTGAGTGGAAAACTCCCTGAGGACTGCTTTGCAATGATCACATATTTGCATTGTTTGTAGCTGGGCGAGTTGCTTCTATAAGCAGCTTGGCCAAAGTAAAGACCAGAAGAGTAAGGCTGATTTACTCACTCCAGACAGCCAGCTACTTGTTAGGAAGGTTATATTTGGCCAGCCTAGTCCATAGATGTTACCATTCTGTAACCTGTATGAACTGATGCTATTGTATTACTTCTGAGCCCTGCCGGACACGAAGCCTGACAGAACCATGCACGTTTCTAAAGCATATTTTACATAAGCAAATCAAATCCATAATGGAGATTCAAAGTGACAGCCCATTTAAATAACACGTCAAGTGTTCCTTCGTCTAAGGAAGAAATTAGGGTAATTGCACTTCCAAAGGTTTTCAGTGTCCCAGTGTTCATGTAGTATATATTTTTGATTAAATGGGTCTTACAGCGGAGATGATGCTTTGCTGTTTACTCAGTGGGAAAGGCACCTCGGGTGTTTTGAAGGGATTTCAGTCTCTCATTTATACTAAGAACTAAACAATAAACCTTGAAAGCAGAAGCTGATGTGATAGAAGAGATAATGAGCCTCTTAGAAGCTGCGGCCAGAGTTCACTGAAGCTGTGGAGGGAAAATCCACCTCAATTCATACAGAAGAAAGAACAAAGATGATAAGAGGAATTTTCAAGTGACTGTAGGAGGGTGATCTTGTTAATTGAATAATGTATGGTATGGTCATGACTTCATGAAAAACAAGAAAAACTAGTGCAAGCTTTCTCTCCTTTAGTCTTCCCTTCAAGCTGACAATATCTTACAGTCCATCTATTATGTTGCCATTTGTTATGATAACATAATTTTTAAAGGTGTGGATTTAACCTTGATTTCAGTGGAATGGCAGAAGTCTGATTATCTCCATGCAGACAAAAACATTACTTTGATTGTGCTCTTTCAACACCTATTCTATCTTAATGAGCAAATAATCTGTGACGGGTGAAATGTGTTTCAAATGGCTGGGTTGTTAGCCCATCCTCAATCTGACAGATTGTGGCATACAGGGTATCTGTTTTCGTGTGCTGTGGCTATTGATTGTATTGATACTGGTTTCCTTAACCACATTGTAATGAGCAGTTAGACTTTCCAAAAGATTAAAAGGATGCATTGTGTTATCCACCTCTTTGTCGATCAGACGGGCACAGCTGACATTCATACAGGGACACTAGATCTGGGAAGGGCAGGTGACTGTGAACTGGTTTTCTCAAATCTTCATAGATACCAAACTGTTGGTTTTCAGAATGTTTAATTCTGAAAAAATTTTGCAACTGAGTTCTCAAAGTCCATTGTTTTAAAAACAATAATTCAAAGAAGTGGTGAGGATGTTTAGTTACTAAAAATAGGTTTGATCTAAGGAAACCTATATTATATTCCAATCAAACATTGGCTAACTATGTAACTATTGACATTTAAATCGCCTATGCCTTATTTTCTTATTTCTTGTTTGATTATTGGTGTAGGAATTGTGAGGAGTAACCAGTGAGTATTCACAGAACTTATTTATGGTGTATTGATGGTAAGCATTAAATAGATCACTTATAAATAAAAAGAAAGGGCTTATGATCAGAGAAGAATTATGTAGCTGGTTTCTGATGGACAATACTTTAAAAATTCTGTAGGTAGTATCAGAGAACAGTTACCAACATGCTGAGCCAGATAGAGAGCCTGCCATTCTGTCCTTAGTTCTGGGAAATGGGGAGAGCATTTGGAAAGAACTGGTTGCAGGAAGCAGCCTTGGATGAAATCTTGAATTGTCTCAATTTAAACTGAAAGATAAACGTAAGTTTATCTTGGAACTGAATTTATTGACTGTGAAAGGACAAAGTTTAAGAAATTAAGGAAGTAGCAGAGGAAGTCAGGTGGGGAACTTGGAAGTGTAGTATGGCAGAAGCATGAAACACTTTTGAGCTACAAAAGTAGCATAGCTGTATTTCCTGAATGTACATCTTAATATAAATACCCTAAAGAGAGGAGTGTAAGTAGCAGAGAAGCATTCTAGGTATCACCTATTGCCTTGTAAAGAAAGGAAAGAAGCAAGAAAATGTTAAAGGTGCAGGAGCAGATCATTCTCATGTGCCAAATGATGAGCCAGCAGGGAAGATGGCCTGCCTATCTGAACAGAGTTTTAGCTGGAATTCAGGAAAATAGGAGAGTTTATGAAGTTTGAAAGAAGAGACAGGCAACTCAGGAGGACAAGGGTGTCATGAGGTTATGCAGGGAAAAAATTAGAAGGTGTTAATGGTTGGACTTCATTATCTTAAGGCATTTTATAACCTAAGTGATTCTGTCATTCTATAAAGGTTCTCTGGTGTTCACGGAAAGCTTACAGGGAATGGAAAAAACTGTAGAAAGTACAGCAAGTTATATCTTAGAGATAAGAAATGTCTGACTAACATTAGAGATAGTAAAAGTCCATCTGTGTTTGGCCTTTATATGGGAATGAAAACAGTCATTTTTAGCCAAGTAACAGTCTTTTGTAGCCACCTAAGTGGATAGAGAACAGTAGAATTTAACCACATGTGAGGTTTATAAAGTACAGTAAACATGGTCCACAGATACCCCAATAAATAACTGCTCACCCGTATTGCTGGAGCCTCTGTGTTGGTGCCTGAGACTTCTGTACCAGGTATGGTCAGGTGTTTGCCCCTGCAGTGGTATATGCTCAGTCCTGTCAGGGGACCTCCACGGTGAACAAAACTGTTCACTTGCATAAAGCAAGCAGGATTTGGAGTCACAGGCATCACTGTGATACGGTTTCCTCGGCATCCTATCATTCTTCACAACATCACCTCAGGGTAACAAAGGATTACATTCTGTCGATGGGCTCAGACATCCCACACAGGATACGTGTGCACTGAGCATGTCTGTCACAAAAGAAGAAAATGTTTCAAGCAAGCTGGGCTGTGGAAGTCCCTCTGCTGGAGAGCAGAGCATCTCACATCCAGAGTTCTAATGTACATAAAATAATCTCTAGGTCACTGCCATGCTTCTCTAAAACAGTCTTCAGCACAGCAAAAAAACCACTGATTTCCATTTTAAGAAAAAAGAGATGATACAACTCTATGGATTTTTTTCTGCAAATGAATTTGCAGAAAGTGAGGTTCATTTTCATTAAGATGTAGACAGTGATTGGAAAATCCCATGTACTGAGCTGCATAGCAGCACAGTAGTGCATGTTTATAACAAAGATCCATGGCCTGAAGGAAAACACACTCTTTGAAAACAAAACTGCTGATAGCTAGAGTTTGGTATTTAAGCTTGTCTGCAAAGCAGAGCCTATTTTCAGACAGATTTCTACAAATCTGTGTACCTTATCTGCAAATGGGCAGCCTCTCTTCATGCTGCCTGTTATTTGCCTTTCAGTGGCCAGACAGCACTGTGCTTTCCCTAAGGTATGCTATCTTAATTCTGAGGATGTGTATACCTCTTAAAGTCTGGTGTCTTCTTGTGGGGAAAACCGGGCAGTGATATCTAGCTCCAATTTAAGCAAGAAAAGAAGATTTAAACTTCACAGTGATGATCAAAGTAAAATTCAGAAGCCATGCTGAGATTAGAAGGAATAACTCAGAAGAGGGAATGAAGATACATGGACAGCTATGAATTAAGGAGTTTCAACGTGCATTGAAGGAATGAAGAAAAAGCTAGAAAATATATCAGCATCAACACTGAATTTTTTTGTGGCTTATTTAGAAAAAAAAAAAGTGCAGCTCAGTTCATTACTTCCCTGGTATCTGCCTAAGCCTTCAGCAAGTTGAGATAGTACTTTTCTTTCCC